CGCTTCCAGCTGGACACGAGGTACACCAACGATCCCCTGGAGAAATGCGTCGTCCGCGCCCTGCACGGGTGAGTGAGCCGCCGGGAGATCGGGAAGGATGGGGATTGGGAAGGATGGGGGTTGGGAATAATGGGGTGTGGAATGGGGTTTGGGAAGAATGGGGTTTGGGAATAATGGGGTTTGGGAATAATGGGGTTTGGAATAATGGGGTTTGGGAATGGGGTTTGGGAAGGATGGGGTGTGGAATGGGGTTTGGGAATAATGGGGTTTGGGAATGCGGTTTGGGAATGGGGTTTGGGAATAATGGGGTTTGGGAATAATGGGGTTTGGGAAGGATGGGGTTTGGGAAGGATGGAGTTTGGGAATGGGGTTTGGGAAGAATGGGGTTTGGGAATGGGGTTTGGAATGGGGTTTGGAATAATGGGGTTTGGAATAATGGGGTTTGGGAAGAATGGGGTTTGGAATAATGGGGTTTGGAATAATGGGGTTTGGGAATAATGGGGTTTGGGAATGGGGTTTGGAATGGGGTTTGGGAAGAATGGGGTTTGGGAATGGGGTTTGGGAATGGGGTTTCTGTGCTTTTTAGCTCTTTGTTTTCCGTAATTGTGGGGTTTGTTCCCCGTGCTGGTGGGGTTTTCTTGGGATAAAGGGTCTTGGGATAAAGGACCTTGGGGTAAAGGACCTTGGGATAAACAGTTGTGGGATAAACGGTTGTGGGATAAAGGACCTTGGGGTAAATGTTCCTGGGATAAAGGACCTTGGGATAAAGGACCTTCGGATAAGGGGTCTTGGGGTAGAGGGTCTTGGGATAAAGGGTCTTGGGATAAAGGGTTTTGGGGTAAAGAGTTTTGGGGTAAAGAGTCATGGGATAAAGGTTCTTGGGATAAAAGGACTTTGGGATAAAGGGTCTTGGGATAAAGAACCTTGGGGTAGAGGGTCTTGGGATAAAGGGTTTTGGGATAAAGGGTTTTGGGATAAAGGGTTTTGGGATAAAGGGTTTTGGGGTAAAGGGTTTTGGGATAAAGGGTTTTGGGGTAAAGAGTTTTGGGGTAAAGGACCTTGGGATAAAGGACCTTGGGATAAAGGACCTTGGGATAAAGAACCTTGGGATAAAGGACCTTGGGCTTGGGGTGGTGGTGA